GTTTTTTGTATTAAAAACACTTGTCTTTCATTGGTGGGATGAAATATGCAAATTTTTTGGGACAGGCATTTTGGGTTTTCATGAGCTGTATGCCATAATCATCAGTATTAAAACAATTAAAGACCTGAAATATTTCAGTTGGTGTGCAATGAATCTGAAATATATGAAAGTTTCATTTTTATCATTACATTATGGAAAATAATGACCTTTATCACAATATGCTAATTTTTTGAGAAGGACCTGTACACCCAGTTGCTTATGCTGCATGATGAGATCAGATTTATTCATATTTTAGAAATTGCATTTAGCTTAGTTGACAAAAAGATACAAATGAAGACTGTCTGTCTTAAAAAAAACTCTTGGTTTTGCAGTAAGCAGCCTGATTTCAAACTGACATCTTGGCCAAAGGTAAAATAAAAATCTTTGTGTTCTCAGAAAAGTTGTTTCAGGACCTCCAATAAACTTATGTACACATCAAAGCACACAAGACAGATTCAGGAATTCTCTTTGTTTTCCAGATTTCACATGTTATTACCTTCAAACATACTCAGACAACATTTGATGCATCATTGAATTTCTTTTATTGTGTTTAGTGGGACATCCATTTTTAGAAGTCATCGTAGCATCTGTTGGAAACACAGAACATAGTACAGTTAGGGTGTTGCTAGTTGTTACTTAATCCTGGATTGGATTTTAAAGTTAATTTTGATTATTTTTTTTTCACAAGGAAAAAAAGTTGATTTCCTAAAGTTTAACTATAAATGAAGGAATTTGTACATTCAGGTAATTGAAAATTAAGTAATTTCTCTAACATCCAACCCATTTTAGCCACTGAGCCATACCAAACACCCATAATCTATTCTTGAATGAATTATTGACTATTATTGACAAATTACAGACTTTTTATTGAATAAGTTATTACTCATTATTGAATCATTGACAATTTACACTCATGTTCGTGTTAACTCATGTTGCAACAAGGTCAGCAACTTTTGACTATTACTATGAACGATGTTCAACTTTGGAGGTGATTTATTTTGAAAGTCAACATCAGTTGTTGGTCAACATTGTTGAGCAACATCAGTTGTTGGTCAACATTGTTGAGCAACATCTTGGGGTCTTTTAGAGTCAACCTGAAGTGAGAGTGGTTCCTGACATGGTAGGAAGACAGATATAATTAACGGCTTTTATTTGTTTATTTTTCAGCTAATAACTTTTATTTGTTTGTTTTTCATATTTTTCAGTTATACACAGCTTTAAAATATCTATTTTTCAAGTATTAAGAACTTTTATTTTCAGCTTGTATTTTGAAAAGCACCACACAGTTGTTGTAACCGTGCACAGTGAGAGCTGCTGGAGCAGGGTGGAGGCTCACTTTACCTCAGTGTGTTACCTGCATGGGAACTCCCCACCATGTTTTCACATGAGCTAAACTTGTAAAGCACGACAACAACGAGAGAACGGTCGAAACTATCGTGACCTACAATAAACGTACTTCAATAAAATGCATAAGTGAAAACATAACATACTTTATAAGTACAATAAACCATATTTCTTTGTCAAACATCGCAAAGAAACGTTACCTCATCAATAATCCTCGTGACTTTTAGGGTTACCCACAGCCAATCAGTGTTCGCCGCCCACAAACGCCTATTCGCCAGAAACGCCCACTTTTGGTCTGCAGAGAAGAGAGAACCCCTTCTCGTGGTTTCAGCGATGTCTTCTTGTTCAATCTGAAGCAGGCAGCCTGATTTGGGGCAGCCGCGCTCAGTCTGTCCCTCCTCAGAGACGGGCAGACTGACCGGGGTCGAGTTGGCTGCCCCGGGTTGAGCAAGAGTAGCGCCCCGCTGAAGCCACGGAGCTCGAATGTCCATCGTAAAACCAACCTTACCGCAGTTTAATGTGACGCTATGGCTCTGCAGACATTGCACGTTGCTGTCTTGTTTTGTGGTGTTTAGTGTAAAATACTTCCACACAGCGGACATGTTTAGATGAAAAGTTGGTTAGCTGTTAGCCACAGTGCTGCTAACTCAGTCCTCACGTTGTAGCTGGCTGCAAACTATGAACTGGATTTCCTGAATGTGAGCCGGGTCTTATTACTCTGGGCTCATGAGACACGCCGCCGTTCAGGAAATCCATTCCATAGTTTGAAGCCAACATGATTCATGGATCGGAAATATCGGCAGGTGGATCGGAAAAATCCGATACGTAAATTATGCTGGTATCGGAGGCCGATACTGGATCGGATCATCTCCATCCCTAATAATAATCAACATCAAAATAAACGTTTGATATATATAATTCTGTGTGTAATGAATGAATATAATAGACAAGTTTCACTTTTTAAATGGAATTACTGAAATAAATCAACATGATATTCTAATTTTATGACCAGCACCTGTACAGTAAACATGTAGAGCCCCATCAATAACCTGTGACATCATCATCGTCAGTAAACATGCTGTATGAAGAATCTGTGACATCATCATCATCATCACCTTCAGTGAACCAACAAGGTTCAACGTCTGAAAGTGATGTAGCTCAGTTTGTTCTTCCATCAGCTGGAGATCTGGAGATGTTTGTGTCTGCTGTGACTGAGTTCTGGGCTGCTCTGCTGCAGGTCACAGACCTCGTATCCCCCCCCCACACACACACACACACACCCCCACACACACTCGTTCTGCTGAGTGTCGGTTCAGTTTGGACTCTGCATGCTTTTCTCTCAGCTGATCCTTTCTGAGCCGTTGATCTGTGGCTGATGGGGGGGGGGGGGGGGGTGTCAGCGTGTCCTCCATCCCACACAGCAGATCAATGAGGTAAACTACAGTGTGGTGTCACCCCCTCCCTCATCAATCAGGAGCAGGTTGTAGTAAAAACACCAGCCTCAGCCTGAAACAGATTCTGATCTTTTCCTGTTGTCTTTCTTTTTTTTACACCCCCCCACCTCCTCCTGCAGGACTCGGACTCCCCCCGTCACTCCACAGCTTCCAACAGCTCCACCTTCAGCAGCCCCCCCAGTCCGGCCTCCCCACACAAGACGAAGTCTCTGTCTCTGGAGAGCACAGAAAGGATGGCCTGGGAGACATGAACCCCCCCCCCCCCCCCCCCCGCGCTGCCCCACCAACAGACAGACTGACAGCACAGCACCCCAAACCCTCTCTTCTCTGCAGCCCCCCCACACCCCCATGATGAACATTTGGCCTGCTCTGCTCCTCCATGATGGAAACTCAGGGCTTCAGAGGGAGGGGGTGTCATATATAAGTGGTGGGTGCTGCAGCTCCAGGATGTGTGCCCCCCACCCACCCCAGAGGTAAAGGTTTGTAATGGGGGGGGGGGGGGCAGTTTTAATTTATTTATGGGTCCTGGACGCGTCCTGAGACACGAGAGAAAAGATTTCTTCGTTTTAATTTTCCTCTTCAACTCTGCAGAGATTGAGCCGCAGCAGCTCGTGACATCATCACTACTCTCCACCTCATTGGTTGACAGCAAGTGACATCATCGAGCAGCCTCGGTTGTAGCGTAGACCCCCCCACCACCACCACGATGTACATAGGTTCAAATCAGAGTTAATATATGAGAAGGAAAATAAACTCCTGGTTTGTTTTCAGGTTATTTTCACACAGAAGCCATTTTAAACCACTTTTACTTTTTTACCAGTTATTTTGACATTTGTTTGATTTTTATGTTCAACACGTTTGTAAGACACTAAAACGAGAATGTAAACACTTTGAACGCCTGCAGAAGTCAGCACGTAGCTTCTGATGGACTCCATGCACCGGATCTGGAAAAACCTGGACTGGAGCTCCAAAACAGGAAGACCTGAAGGGCTGAGCTGCCGAACCCGTGACTTCTCCTCCTCTTCATCAGTTCACAAACGAACTTATAGAAAACGTTTGGTCATAATGAAGTGGCTTTCTGGGGAAACGTGATGAATGATTAGTGTCTTACCTGTTTTGGATGGCTCTGAACAATCACATGTTGAAAAACTGCTTCAGTACCGACGACCTAAAGGCTAAAAACTGAAGAAGGTTTTACAGATTTAAAACCCAAATTTCTAAATCAATAAAACTTTACTTTGTCAGAAATATTAGCAACTTCCTCTTGGCCGTGTTAGTCAGAAATATTAGGAACTTCCTGTCGGCCATGTTATTCTGTCAGAAA